CGAATTCATGCAAAACTTGAGCCATAATGACTTCTTTGCGTGAATATACCTCAATGGAAGCCTGGCCGTAATTTTCGTCTATTGCGGGTATTTTACTGTTTTCCATATCATTATATATGCATACAGAACTTTGTGTTTCAAATAATGATACTTGTCGCATATAAGTAAATAATTTTAATTTCTGCTTGCAAATACCATATATGAACGAAGGAAACGTGTCCAAAAACACATCAGGATTTGAATGAATATATAAATTATTTCATTAGTAGCTACCGTTTAAAAATACCATGAAGATCGATCAACCGCAGTCTTTGCCTAATTAACCATGTCCACTTTTTTGGGCGATCTTATTGGAAAACATTTAATTTGGTGCTCAGGCTGAACTTTAAATTAAAAACAGATTAAATCGATCAAAAAACTTAAACATGCCGCCAACTATCCGGAAAGCCTTCATTTAGGTTTTGTCATTGATTATAAACTTTATAAAACAAAGCAGACTGTTCGGCACAGGATTGAATTTCTCCGAAAGATTGCTGGTTCGTTTACACCTGTTAAACGATATAGCACGGACATTTTCCGGTTGTTTTTTGCTTATGATGAGTTTTGGTTATCGGTAAACGAAATTTATGAATATAATTAGCTACGTTTTTTTTTCGGTAAAGTGTCTCTTTATAATAATTTGAAAAATGTGTTGAAACTTTCACAAAATTGATAACGCATTTAGGGACTGAAAATAAATTGAAAATAATTTAAAATTTTGTTTCCAGTTTAGCAAAAATATATTTTTATTACTGATTTATTGTCACGTTGTAACTCTAACAAGTTTAAATCTTAGATTTTCAATGGAAAATATCATAATAAATTGTGCTATATAGAATTGCAGTACCAGAAAATATCTTGAAATATCGAAAAATTGCCACAACTATTTTCTTGTCTCTTCATTCACTGACAAATGTTTTTGTTCCAAATGCGTGACTAGATTGTAAATGTAACTTTCTTTTAGCTTTCGACTTACATTTTGCGGAATTAATTATAGATACAAAAATATGTAGACATAGGAATAATGATTTTGCATAAAGTCGCAGGCGATGTTGGTGAGAAAAATTAATTTCAACAAAAGAAAATACATAGAAACTAATTTTAACAGATAAGTTGGGCGAATATATTATCCATGATATAAAGAGTCATTCAGAACTATGGGATTAGACGTCTGGAAATTATTCAGTGCAAGAATTGAGGACATTTACGTATAAGAACACTTACGAGGAAAAACGTGTTTCCTCGATTTCTAATGCATTAATTTTAATGTTTTTTGCACAATGACGCTTACAGTAAGTAAATGTTTTTTGCAAAATTTCGTCCTAGAACTTGAAACTCCAATCGAAAACTTTATCTTAATTCAGTTTTCCAGAGGATAATCGAATTTTGTTAACAATGGATGATGGTTAAACATTTTTTATTCTTAACGTCTCGTGCTGTTTTACCTTCTTACTTACTTTTTTACTTTTAAACTTTATACATAATATATTTTCTGACAAAAAATTAGTGGATCACACATACTTAGTTTTTTCGGTGCTTGATTACCAAATATCAAGTCGCAAATGGCAAGACGATATTATACACAAACTCTATTTTTTTATGGTAATTAAACGCTGTCACATATAAAATAAACAAAGAATGTAATATAAAGGAAAGTTCCTTGATTTCTAACCCTCGCTCGTTTGCAAATAACTTGAATTATCGATATATTGATTGATAAATAAAGGAACAACTGCAAAAACCCAACAAGTTGAATTGGAATTTCAGTAGATATAGCTTTCAATCCTCTAAATAAAGCGACGATGAGATGTAATAACTAGTCCAGGAGAAAAATACTTGAACATTTCTGATTTATTTGCGACCGAATTCTCCCGAATGCGTAAAGAATTTAACAAAATATAGAGAAACATTTCTATAAGTTTCAAACTTCACAACTTTTGCATAATTTTGATTGCCTTGTCCTGTCACATATTTTCAGCTACTTACTACATATGTTTTTTACTTAAAGTTTAAGTAAAGGTAAAGGTAAAAGGTACCTATATGAAGGGTATGCATATGAAGGGCACGAAATGCATAAATATATTTTTTAATAAATAATTTACAACTTCAAGCAAAGGTTCCAAATAATGAATAAATGCATGTCTAGTTAATAGTCTGAAGATTTATCATTACTACTAATTAACACAAATGCTACCGTGGTAAACTAATTATCTCCTTACAAAGTAATACGATCAATTAAGCGTTCACATATTTATACAAGATTCCCTATTTAACAAAATATTGCATAAAATATTTAATGGAAATTATAGAAAATAAATGGAGGTATTTCATATATTTATATTATGAATTATTTTATAACTATAGTTAATAATAAAGATATGCTGAACACGATAATGAATGATAAGGCTAATCACTCTTTATTTATATAATATTTATTAATTTATTTAACATCTTTACTTAGACATAATGGAAATATTATATGTAGAATAAATGGCTTTCGAAATTCGTTTTGACTAATTCCTCTGGGCATCATGGTGAATTAACGCTACAATTCTGGTCTCTTTATTTAAATTTCGGATGGTAAACTAACCATTAGTAGTAGAGATGAGTAATGATCTAAAGAAGTACGAAAAAAGAATGTGTACCAATTTCGCAATACAATTTGCATGGGGTTGCCGCTTTCTGTCTATTCAGACTTCAAGGCTCGCTTAAGTGAATTCCCGGTCGAGAGCTGTCTGTCAAAGGTTTGATTGTTGTTGGATGGAATTGCTTTTCTATGCTGATTTTGATGAATGTATTGAACTGTGTAAAATTTTGTAAGCATTTGGGAGGAATACTACAGAAGCCATTAATCGAACAGAATTCTCAATTAAATATACCTAAAAAAGGTAAAGGCGATAACAACAAAAAATATTAGTAATTATTGGTTCACTACTTCCTGGTTCACAAAAATATTGTAACCAAAACGTAAATTCGAAAATTTATAAAAAACATCATAGAGGATAACGCGAACATGAGAGTACAAGGATCTAAAATGTCAGCAGGCAAAACTAAGGTTGGAAGTAGTCCTGGGTTGAGTTGCACTATTGAGTTGTTGAAGCTCTCTGAGTTAACGAGTTATAACTCATCGGTTCATGAGTTATGAGTCATTTATTAAAGCTTTACGAGACTCGAGACTGGAATTTGCACATCTAAAAAACAGGTCATCAACATTTTTTTCTGAGCGTTTTACTACTTTGTTCAAACAACTAAAAAAAAGTAATCTAGATTCTCCCAGCAACAGAAGTGAGTCCAAAGAAAGTCGACGAGTTATCCTGTAAAATCGATCTCTTAATTTTTCGCATAGAAGATTCAGTCTATCTGTATTTAACAGTCAAACGTCAGGAAAAACCGGTTTTTCCCTTTAGTGACAGTGTTGTTTAGAAATATTGACCTAAAAGTGAAAAAACCCCAGTTTTTACTGAGTTTTTCAAATAAATTATTATAAACTTTCGCTTTTTCAGTTCGGGGAAATATTTTTGGAAAAATACCCAGAATTATTAGGGTTTTGTCCATATTTTACGGAAGCTGCAAAAAGTTTTCCAAAAATGTTATCTATCTTAAAATATTTTACAGAAAATTGTCAGTATTTTAGCTAAATAATAATGCCACTTTTGCGTAGAAAGAATTGCTTAATAGCAACTTTGTTAAAACTAGAATGACCTGAAAATTTAAAGACACTTTAAATTGGTCAGAGCTACGTGGCCGGCGAATTTTCCAAATATTGTTTGCAAACTTTTGCTCCCTGGCCGTTTTTGCCGGATAATCTTAATTACTTCGGTTAAAAAACTGAATAAAATTATTCGGTTGTTCGAATAGAAATTCGAAGCAGAAAAGGGTTTTCTAAAATTCCCTGCAAACCGATGAATGAGGCGAATGAAAGTTTTTGCGTTTTCGATTAAAAACTTTTAATTTTGTGATCGGTTGAAGAAAATATTAATGGTTTTCAGGAAAAAAACGGGAGGAAATTTATTTTCGTTTTTGTTTCAAATTCGACTCTGAAAAAAGTTTTACGAAGCTATAAATTTATCTTTCTAATTATCTCAGATCGCCAGTATTTTTAAGTGAAACTCTACAAAATCAAAGTCAGTCAATCTTCAGAGGAATTGAGGTGACGAGATTTCCAAATAATGTGTTATCAACTTTCGCTTATTCTGTTTTTTAATAGAAATTAATAAGATTTTTGTTCCAGTCTCGAAGCTGGAAAGGGATTTCAAAACTTTTTGCAAAGCGACCAACGATTCGAAATTTATTTCATAAATTTTCACCGAAAATACTTTAAATTTGGCAGCATTTTTAAGTGAAACTTTAGAAAAATTAGCTTTTAGAAGACAGAGTAACTTGACTAAAACTGGAAAATTCTGAAATTTTGAACAAATTTGAAAAATATTATTAATAAAAGGTCCTTAAAATAAATCTAAAAACAAATGAAAAAACATCATCAACATTTTCTGAGCAACAGAACTGAGTTACTGCACTGGTGCGTGGGGTTGGCGCATCAAGCCATTTGCGTAGCACTGCGTCAACTCCTAAATAGTCAGTGAGTTACGCAGGCCTAGTTGGAAGCAAAAGCAGCAGAATTTTTGTTAAGACACTGCTTTTATTTTCAAGAAATTCCTCTTTTAACAGTTGGGCTAAATTTAATCTTATATATACACCTACAAGGTAACAAGTAATTAACCTAAATGTTAATAAAATTGGTTGCAAGAGCACAAGACGATAAAGCTTCTGCCAAAATGTTTACAAGTTTTACGACTTTTTACACCCTTTTTTTAGTTCAGGGTTTTAGGCTACTGTTTCAGATGGGTAATCAATCTAACCCAAAGCTTAGACGGGTACAGACGCAATTAAACGTTGACACTATGGAACTTTTTTCTGTCAGACAAGAAAAGTTGAAAAATATAAGAAAACAAAATAAAACGTTTGTTTTTGATATTTATATTTACATACATTATCAGGAACCTGCACAAACTCCATGGTATTACTGTAGCGTCTCGCACCCCCAAAAGGGATTGGCTTGCATGACCAAAGTGTAGAGTCGCAAAGCCAAAATACTTCGGCTCGCAGGACCAAAATGTATGCTCTAGCAGGACCCAATTCGTGGATGGAAATGTGTGTTCATTCGAAGGACTAAGGTGTTTGAGAGTGACTTAGAGAACCGTGGGTGAAGTTGGGCGCAGCTGCAGGATAACAAAGCATTCGCGATGTTTTCCTTGCCCAAGTAGCACTAGAGAGAGAGTAAACTTAGGGAAGTTGAGAATAAATTTCCCCAGAAAGAGGGAGATCTTTCTGGGCTTGGATGAATACTAAACTCGAAATAATTTTAAGCGAACTCACTTGTGACGTTGATGTGAAGTTGCACGTGCAAACCCGATCATCACATGCAAGAACGCACGGTTCCCGGAATGCCGCATTAAGCCTGATTCACACTATCAGACACCCAACGGACCGGCAAAGACACGACAAAACATTCTTATTAGATGAGTAAATGGTGGTGTTCACATTAAAGTGCAACGCCACAGTAACGACACTTATATGCAACGACAAAGGCGACCGGCAATCGTGCAAGAATGAGGAGAAAAATTAGCTGTCGTGTAATTGTTTCTGAATATTTATTTCGCTATAAAAAAAGTAGAGCCTAAATTTTAAATTAAGTGGTATTATAATCATATATATAATTATTCCTGGTTCTTTAGACTTAGGATTTTCATGATTTTTTAATTCTTTAGTTTTAGGCTTTTATAAAATGTGTATGAATAAAGCAATTCTAACAACACAATGCATAAAAGTAACGTTTAATAACTATGTTCTTCTTGATATGCAGGTTTACAATCTGTTTAAGTACTGGATATAGGCACTATCTCGCCTAACGCACAGGCACTACACTGCAAAACATGTTTGCCAAAAGTGATGGTAGGCTTCGTCGTTGCCTGTATGTGTCGTTACCGTACCGCTGCCGGTTAATATGAACACCACCATTTACTTATCTAATAAGACTGTTTTCTCGTCTCGTTGCCGTGTCTTTTCCGGTGGTCGGGTGTAAATCTTCCTTTAGCCAGAATTTAGCATTGAGAAGATTTCTATATAATCTATAAGATATGTGAACATTTACTTTGTTTTACTATTATTGCATGATATATATAAACGTATTAACTCTAATTATCAGCTTATTTAATTAAAAGTCTTTGTGGACTCACTCCGATTAAAGATAACGTAATAAAATACCTACATTAGCCAACGTGCAGCAGAAATTAACATTATGTTATTTGCCATTACAATATCGTTTTTTCATGGCTCGTTATCAAATGGCATTATCAACTGTGTCACAGACATAGACCACCAACGCAACTGTAACAAAGATTAAAAAAATCGAAAACCGGCTCTATTGAATCTAAATAAAGCCGTCGATGGACATGTGATAAGGGGCTTGGTGTGACAGCTTCACAATGTAAAATATTCTGAAATGCGATCTTGTCAGTAAAAATGTAACTTCGACCATTAATCATCAACCGTTGATCGTTTGATAATATGAAAAATATTCACACATCAATGAGAGAGAGAGTATTTAAAGTATGTATACTTGAACCCTTTTTTGTTCATAATTGCATGTGCCATTTTCTTATAGGGCAAAAGTTGTTTTGCATATTTACCATTTGAAAATAACAAGTTTCGTGTTAATTACGCATTAAAGCCAATAATAATAATTCGATTTTTTGGATTGCATTTGCAAATTGAAAGACTGTATGGTATGAATGCTAAAATGAAATATCAATTTAAATGGATATCACTGACAAAACCAGGCGTCTCGGCGCCTACGATTCAGCCGGACGGAGATTGATGTTACACGGATGGACAGAATCAATTGAGTTTAATTCTTGAAAGGCTATTGGCAAAACTTAAACCATTTTGGGGAAGCCAGACTGTGGCAAATATGTAATAATTCAATTTAAATGAAAACAGTAAATTTTTACTAATAATTAAAAATTAATGACATCCTTTTTTCTCTTAATTATTTACGTATATTTTATTTGGTGTCAGCACACGAACATACATCTAACTTTGCCGCTGGGAGCTTTTAAATATCAACAGTTGATTGCTTCCACTGTTTGGAATGTAAAGTCACATCATGAACTGCAAATGGTTTAAAAAACATTAAAATGCACCCTGCCTGACAGTTGAACAAGCAAAGTGTTTAATGAGTTGAAATTGTTTCTATTTGCATGTAACTGGAAGGAAAGTGAACTGATCTGGAAGGTTGACAGTTGACGGGCGAAGGAAAAGGCCTCAGCGGCTGGAATTTGCTCATGAAGCACAGAAATGGCAACCGGGGTGGGACTTTATCGCCAATGGTCGATTTCTGCAAGTCATCTTTGAATCCCTCGGGATCATGCTTTATGGGATTTTCATGAGGATTGGGAAGAACAAAATGGTACATGGTCTTTTGGAATAAAATATGTGGAATCAATTCGCATTGATATGAAAAAGTCACACATTCCAAGCGAGCGACATTTTGTGCACCCAATATTTTGTGGAGAGCAAAAACAGCAGATAGCGTCTTTAATTAGTTCAAATAAATATTTTTTTCTGCTGTATTATCTGATACTGTTTTCAGAACGTGTACTCAATGCACCCAAATAAATTTATACTTTTTAATTTCCATAATATATGTAATTCGTAGATCTCAGGTTTGCAAGTGGTTTTATAGGTGTAAAATTTCACTGAAATTGAATTATTTTTTAAATTGCGATTCCGACTTTATAGGATTAATAAGCAGAGTGCAATGTCAAACACATTTTTTGAAACGTGTTTTATGCAAATTAATATGGGAATGGAAAGGTAAATATAGAGTTCTAAGATCAGTAATTATACTAGAAACGAATTGCATTGTAGATTTATTATGTATATCAACGAGCTGAACTCTATAAAAATTATTTTTAAATAAAAACTTAACTAACTTATTGAATATGTTGCGGGTTTCTAACAGCTCTAATATGTTAAAACATACATTTTGCATTTTATGAGTTGTACCTTCATTTCATTAATGAAGTTGAATGTTGTTCATCGGATAAGCTTCCATATAAGTCCTACCTTGCGGTGCTAATGTGATATATAGTATAATTCAATAAATAAGTCAGTTGTTGCTAAACGCATTTTCGAACTTATTTATACATATATGACTGAGTAAAATGAAATAACTTCCCTCAAAACAACACGTAGATTTAAGTAGTTTAAATAAGCAAAGATTCAAAGCTTACCTACTTATGGACGTTACAAAAACGAAATATAGCGTTATGTATATTACAGGAAACTCACGAGAAGGATCGATTAATAAGTTCGTCAATATACATATATGTACTTACCTCCTTTACTTACATTTAAATTTTAATATTGAACTTAATCAAATTAAAATTCATCTTAACACATATTCAAAATGTCATTAATTATTACTATTTGCCTCAATGTCTCAATTGTACATTTTGGAAATTAGTATTTTGCAATATTTTGTTTTTCACTATGCCAGATTTCATGTGTTGCATGAAATCAGTAAAATTAAAATGGCGTTATTCACATAATTTTTTTGTATATAAAAAATCTAAAGCTTACATCCGTATGATATGATAACATTATACAACATAATAACAACAAAATGCCGTAATTATTGTATAAAGAACAACCAATAACGACGATGAAACGCAGACCAATTAACTCGAACTTAACACTGGCGGAAACTTTTTCTACCGTTCAGCCCCTAAGTTCGCTGAGAAAAAGATTTATGGCTCTCAATTGAATGGACCTGGAGGAAATTGTAGAGGTGAATATTTACCGCATACATTGTGCTTTATAGTTATTTAAGTGATATAAGGCGAAATAACTTTTCGAGCCAGGTTGTGCTATACACGAAATAATTAGTAGCAAAAAACAAGTTTTATTAAAAATATATATGTAATTCATTTAGTGACAAAAGTATAAGCCGTTATTTACTTGATTCAATGTAATTATAGAACACTTAATTAAACGAGTTTATACAATTATCGTTCAGATCGCCAGACGGTCTGATGTCGACATTCTTATAAACAATATGACAGCGGCCCGGTGGGTCTTAGATACAGATTTTACAAGACATGATCTTCTATTATTTCCTTTTGTTTCACATCACCATATTAATGAGATTGGTACTGAGGAAAAACACTGTTCTTTGCAACAGGAACAAAATGAATTATTGTTCCAGTGACCTTAAAATAAGCTGGTGAAGGTAGTAATTCTCAAATATTATTTTGAAAATTTGCAGTTTCAAGTCACTAAACTAATATGCAGTATAGATATATTATGAAGACAAGTATCCACCCTAGGTAGGTCACGTACAGGAGCATAAAGGCTCATCTTGTTTGACTTTCACCTTGCACTGCTTGACGTCGAAAAGAAATCGTCAGAAGATGGATTTTTAAAAGGCACGGTTGATCATACAAACAGTTCTATACTGCTGAAGAGAGTGAAATCTATAAAAACTTGCATTTGTTCGTTTCTTGCAAATTGTACACCTGAGTTTTGCTTGAAAAGAAAACAAAGTTGAGAAAAATGAAACTGGGAAAATGCTTAATCATTTTATATACACATTGCCATTTTTTCGTCTATGAGGTCCACTACCAAAAACGAATATGGGGCATAGAAGACAAATCTAGCAAATATATAAATCAGATATAAAACTTTTGCTTTATATCTGAGTTTAATTTTGGTTTCTCAAACAGCTAACAGTTACGAGCAGGTGCAGGTTATTTTCGTTATTCAGTTTGTAGAAGAATAAAAATGGACTTCTTTTATAGTGATTGAAGATGTATAAAATTGAACTCAGATCAAACAAAATGGTATCAAAGAATCGGTATTTTTGAATTGAACTGTGTAATTTTCAGTGTTTTTCAAACCTTCAAAGGTACATTTGGCCTAGCGCTTTCGGCTATTTAGTCACCATCACACACCCATTCTTATTATTTGAATATGGTTTGTCGTTTTCGATTTAAGAAGATTTCATAACAATATAATAATAACCACTGGGTTTATATGAATAGGAGGCCAAGAAATGATTAGCATTTCACTGGTATAAGAAAGACATGGAACACACATTTCGACTATGCCACTAATAGTGCCGTCATCTTATTGACATCTATACATTTCATGTTGAGCATTTGAGGCCTGTCACTAATAAGGTGTGGGCTTGACCTTATTTGCGCACATCTTACATTTGCACAATTGGGTTATTTTTTACTTCAGTTGATTCCGTGACGTTATACACGGAAAAGTAAACACTAAATGGGTAAAGCATGGCACATTTTATAGGTTACAAATTAAAATTAAATTCCCACAAGCCCTTATTTTTCCCATTGTCATAACACCACCAATTATTATTAGATTACATTAAATTAGTACTATTGAAAAAGGCTTATATATTACGGTTGCTGAGAGAATATATTACGGTTGCTGAGAGGCAGGCATGGA